ATGGTTGGTTAAGCTAATTACAGGCTTTACCTGTTAGTTGAAATGATGTCATGCCAGACACAGCAGTGGGCAATGACTGGTTATTAAGGCGACTAATGATACCCCAAGATGATTTGGTTATGGATCTAGAACACTCCAACTCTCCACAATCATAAAGTTCAACTCAATCAGCCTTGTAGGATCTTTAACAGGTGTGTGACTTTTTTTCCTGGGAACTTCAGTTCACAGACCAACGTGAAAGTCTCTTTTTCCTATTTTCAATATTTAAGAACTACTAGGGAGAAATCTTTTGCCTAGTTTATGCCTGGTGATTACTCACAAAACAATTGAGGTAGTGAAGACATGAGAAAAAAAATCACATTTTTTTTTTTTTTGGTCTTTTTGAGACAGGGTCTCCCTGTAGCCCGAGCTGTCTTGGAACTCACTATGTAGACCAGGCTGGCCTTGAACTCACAGAGATCCGCTTGCCTCTGCCTCCCAAGTGCTGGGATTAAAGGCGTGCACTACCACCCCCGGCTTACAATTTTTAAGGTTAGAATGTAAGAGAAGTATTCTCAAATACAAAGCCGAGCGCTCCGTCCGTCTGAGGAAAGAGGAAGGGTGTGGGCCAAAAGCTGAGGAGTCATCTGCTACTGCAGTAGCAGTTCATGAGAAAAGGAATTCAAAGAGACCCAACTGATAACCCTGACAGAGTCCCATTGTCCAGAAGGTTGAGTTCTTCTCTGGCCGCTGTGTTTTCCAGGGCCAAAGCCAAGGCCACGCTGGAGGGGTCCAGGATGTAGAGATTCAGCATGTGCAACGGTTGCACTCAAAGGAACACGACAACAGCAAGCAGCTTTCTTCTCTTGCCCTTTGTTCTCCTCCTCTACCCCCAGTCTTACTTTGAGACGCAAGTTCTTCCTTGTCTCTTAAGGAAACCTGTGGTTGGTCCCACTAATTTTCAGGTCCATTCTTCTAGTCCTGTGGGGCCTGAGAGATGGCTCAGCAGGTAATGTTACCACTGCCAAGCCTGAAGACCTGGTAGAAGGAGAGAACCAACTCCCACAGTTGTTTTCTGACCTCCACCCATGTGTACACTCCCACACACATACACACATGTATAGAAAATAAATACATTTTTAATGTCATAAAATTTTTAAATAAAATAAAATGTTTAGTTCAGCACAATAGTCAAACCTGAGAATTCCAATTATCCACAATGCTTGCTTACCCATCCTGCATGCTCAGGAAGAAAACAACATGGGGGCAACACTCTTCCATTTCCCCATCAAGAAGACCAATTTGAACCACAATTTTCTGGGGGGAGGGGACAGTACTAAAAATTGAACTCAAGGCCTTCAGCATACTAGGCAAGTGGCAAGCGCTGTTATTTTATATATATACACATATATATATATATAACTTTTATTTATTATTTTTATTTTATGTGCCTGCATGTAGGTAAGTGCACCCGTGTCATGCAATGCCCGTGGAGCTCAGAAAAGGCTGTCAGATCCCCTGGGACTGGAGTTATGGACAGTTGTTAGCTGCCATGTGGGTGCTGGGAGTCAAACCCAGGTCTTCTGCAAGACCAACCAGTGTTCTTAACCACTGAGCCATCTCTCCAGCCCCTGTAAATGCTGTTATTATATTATTTTATTTTGAGACAGTCTCATCAAATTGACCAGACTATCCTTGAACTCTCTCTGTAGCCCAGGTAGGCCTTGAACTTGCAAGTTTCCTTTCTCACCCTCTTAAGTAGCTGGGTATATTACAGGCCCGTGCTACCAAGGTCCTCATGAACCAGAAGGTTGGATCCTTCAAGATGGCTGACAGGCTTTCTGATGTCTCCAATAACTGTGAGGGAAGAGCACAGAGAGGAGTGAGGGAAAGACTTGGGAGGCCCTCTTTGCTTGCCACTGTCTTGCTCTGGCTTTGAGGTTGAGTGTGTGTGTGTGTGTGTGTGTGTGTGTGTGTATTCATGCAATTGTGGAGGTCAGAGGTAAACCTTAGGGGTCATTCTTCCAATGCTATCTATCTTGTTTTTTGAAACAGGGTCTTTCACTGGCCTGTAGCCAAACAGTCCAGTCTCTGTGAGCCCTAGGGATCCACCTGTCTTCCTCTCCAAAGCACTGGGATTACAAGCACTCTCCACAATACATGGCTTATTTTTTTTACCTGGATTCTAGGGATCAAACTCAAGTCCTTGTGCTTATGAGGCAAGTGCTTTACTGACTGAACTAGCTCCACAGCTCTGGTATCCTTTAACATATTAATTCGTGTCCTCATTATTGTTGTTGTTATTATTATTTTACAGGTATGTACGGCCTGCTACAACAGGTTTAACTTTGGTGTTTTGTTTTGATTTGGCTTTTGGAATGGAGTCTCACACTTGTAATCCAGGTTGGTCTTAAACTCATGGCCATCCTCCTGCATCAACCTCCTAAGTGCTGGGCCTACAGCCATGCCTGACTTGGCTTTAGTGTGTTCACTGTCTAGTAGGTATTAAATGCTTTTCCCTGCCAGAGTCTTGTTTTAACTATATTATCTCTACTGAAGCACGGTGAAGTAAGACAGATGAAGGGAGAACTTGGAAAGGAATCAGTTTTGTTCCTTGGAGAGAGCAGAGCTCATGCAGGTGACTCAAGGAAATAGCCAGGTCTGCCACAAGGCAGAAGGAGAGAGGAGAGCTATAACAAACATATCACTTGTAGCTCCTGAGGGACGGCAAGGCAAGGCAAGACAGGTTTACGACTGCTTACTGTGAACAATCTCAGTGAATGCTGGGGCACAGAAGCATCCCTAGTTATCTCATACCTGATCCTAGGGCGATTAGCATGGGTGTTCAGTGGCCTGGAGTGTGAAGGCTTCATAAGGGGAGTAGTAAGGGTGTGGGGTTCATAGGCAACGTGAGAAAGGAAACGACCAGTCTCCAACCAGGACTTCAAAACTACACTAAAACTCATACATTACAGGTATCACATGGGTTCTTTAAGACCCCTCATCACAGAGGATGTCTCTTCTGTAGCCCCTTTACTGTCAGCAAGGTCTGTTTTCTGTCTGTATCTGGCAAGTATGTACATATACGTTCTACTCTGTGTGTGTGTGTGTGTGTGTGTGTGAGAGAGAGAGAGAGAGAGAGAGAGAGAGAGAGAGAGAGACTGTTTTGAGATAGGGTCTTACGTAACTTAGACTGGCCTGACACTACCTATGTAGCCAAGGATGACCTTGAATTCTTATCCTCCTACCTCCACTTCCTGAGAATGCTGGAACTACAGGATGTGAGCCACCATGTCTGGATTTATGCTGTGCTTTGACTGGGCCCAGGGTCTTCTGAATGCTAGGAAAGCATTCTACTAAATGAGCGACATCCCCAGCCTCTACCCCTTCAAACGGGTCTCATACTGTAACTCTGTAAGGTCGGCAACTCATTAGCTAGCCCAATCTGGCCTCAAACCCAGGCAACCCACCCTCTCTCAGCCTCATCCCAAGGGCTGGGATTACAAGTGAGTCTATGTTTTGAGACAGTCTCATGTAGCTCAGGCTGGCCTCAAATGTGCTATGTACCCAAGGATGAACTCATCTTCCTCCCTTCAGCTCCCAAATGCTAGGATTGCAGTATGAGCTGCTGTGCCTGGCTTCGTGTGTGTGTGGTTTGTTGAGATAAGTCTTAGACTATGTGACTCAGGCTCCTGCTTTTACCTCCCATGTGCTAGGATTGCAGGTATGTGCCATCATGCATGCATATTCTACCACATTTGGCTTCTAGTCTCTTTCAGCCAAGGTCTGAAGTCAACTTGCCTCTGCTAGGAAGCCATCATGGGCAGGGTTCCTTTAGAGAAGTCTTCAAATTAGGTCTCTCATAGTTCTTATTATATCTGACACTGAATCTTACACTGAGACCTAAGCTATTAGAAGGAGGGAAAGCAATGGTAGGGCCCAGGGCTAAAGGACAAAGGCTTTCCAGTGTTACAGAATGAAGTGCATGTAGGTCCATCATCAGAGAAAGCAAAGCAAGGGATTTGGGTGGGCTGCAAAATTTAAAGGATCACCATAAAATTCAGCAATCAAGATGAATACTATTTGATGGGATAATCTCAAAATGCATTAAAATGTTTATGCTGGGTTCACAATTTCCCTTTTGCCTAAGATACCATATGGCTCTGCATATGTCATATGGCCATGCTATATGCAACAACTTCCAGCTCTCCTAGCCCTTCAGTTGAGGCTTGAAGCTGAATCACAAGATGGAGTGTAGGTATGGGCAAAGAAAAGAAAAGCCCACAGAATAGTCCAAAGTGTGGGCTATGAGATGGCTCAGTGGGTAAAGGAGCTTGCAACCAAGACAGTCAATCTGAGTTCAATCCCTGGAACCTATATGGTGGAAGGAGAGAATTGACTCCTAAAAGATGTCCTTTGACCTTCACCCGTGTGCTGTAACGAGAGAGCGGGGGGGGGGGGGGGGGGGGGGGGGGGGGGGGGGGGGGGGGGGGGGTAAATGTGAAGGAAAGAAAGTCCAAGGGTCCAACGTGCCTTCCAGGGCTAAGCTGGGTGAAAGCTGGAGGGCCCTGTGATGAACGGTGGCGATGGGGTTGCAGGCAAGTTCCAGATCCCCTAAGGACTCTGTAGAATTGACAGTAGGAAGACACAAGTTCCGATGGTGTAAGGACTTAATGGAGTTAGAACTGAAGAAGTCAGGCTCCTTCTCAGGCTAAGGCGTTACCTAAGTGAGGGATGACCGAGTCTTGTCTAGACAGGTGTAGGCAGGTTGTCCAAAGTCCAGGTCCGGACCTCAGTTTCCCCACTGTCATACTGAGGGTGGGGTAGCCTCCGGGGGGTTCGGAAGCCCAGCCCTCTGGGCCACCCAGGGTTCCACGCAGGGCAGGAGAAGGAGGACCCGCCCCTGCTGCAGCCCTGAGACTGGGACGCTCGGAGCAGGGGCGGGTCGCGCTGATGCCCTCACCCGCTCTCCGCCCAATCGCCGCGGGCCCACGGAGCCCCGGGGGGCGGCAGGCGGAACCAGCCGCTGCTGCGCCGACGCGAGCGCGGGGCTGGGGCGGGCGTGCTCAGTCTGGCGGCGGCCGTGCGCGGACTGACAGACGTGCCGGAGCGCAGCACCGCCCGCAGCCCAGCAGCCCGGGCCGCGCCCGCCCGCCAGTCCGCCGACCATGGTGTCGTGGATCATCTCCAGGCTGGTGGTGTAAGTGGCCTTCTTTCCCCGTGTCCTTCCTTCCCTCTCCTCCCGGTCCCGGGCTCCCCTTAGGGCCGCGAGCCCCGGCGAGCCAGCAGCCCCGGGTCGCTGGAGCTATTAATACCCGCGATCGCTAAATTTAGCAGGTACAGTAGCCGCTCCGGGACGCTGGCGGGCGGCGCAGGACGCGCGGCGCCGCTGGCCCCTCGGTGGCCGCGGGCGCAGGCGGCGCCTTTCCGGGGGACCAGGACGCCGGTCCCCGCGCTCGTGATACAGAAGCCGGGTGAGGATGCGTCTCGCCTCTCCTCTGCCGCTTTGTTCCATCCCGGGTGGGGCGGGTTTGCAGAGGCCCCGAGTGGGAGCTCCGCGCGCGGACACGCGACTCTCTCTTTTGGGAGGAATTCTAGGGTCATCCACCGCTACGCTTTTGTCAGGTGAAAATGACAGACAGCCCACACGGGCGAGGGGCACTGCCTGAAGGGGTCATCACCGAGAAAAGTAGCGAGATGGAGGCGGGGCTCGCAGTGGGGTGGGATAAAAAATACTCCCTTTTAGGTTTCTCACATTGACTGGGCGAGGGCAGGTGGGAAATAGACTAGTGTGCATCTTGGAGTAGCGGTCTTCGACTCGGTGTCCAATTTCCTTGGCAGGGGTTTGAGAGATGAGCAGGCATCTCTAGGAATGCACAGAAATTGTCCAAGTGACAGACAGTATCCCCCCCCCCAAAAGGGCGGTGGCAGCGACACTTCCCAGGCGGTACAGGAGAGCAGAGTCATCTGGGGTGAAGCCTGTATGAGGTCCTTGGTGATGGTCAATGAGGACTTTTTTTTTTTTTTTTTTTTTTTTTTCAAGGCCCTCTCCTCTCACCTTCTTACTTGGATCAGGACTATTTACTACCTGCTCAGGGGATCCAGGACTGAAATGGTCTGGGGAGGCCTGGATGAGGAACACGTGCCCAGCGTTTTCTTTGTCTAAGAAAGAGAGGCTCTGGACGCCCTTTGATAGTACAGCATCCCGCCCATGTCTGGACACATCTCTCTTCTTCCCTTCTTGACTAATTTTCAAAGAAGCAGTCCAGGGCAGCCTTCTTTGAAGTCCTCGCGGTTGTCCCAGCCACTATTCTGTCCTTTCTTCCCAAAGCTGGTGTCTATGCCTCCCAACCCTCAAGTTGCTTCATGAACGTCTCTCCAACAGCTGTTGCCAACTGCTGATTTGCGCCGTACCTTGAGGTGGCACGTTAAATATTTAGATTTCTGCGGCAGAGCTGGCATCAATCATACAGGGAAGCCACTGGCACGCCTTCCCAGCCTCATGCCTGACCAGAGCCTAGCTTGCCTTCCGGGTGAGGTTTTCTTTCCTGAAGAGGTTCTGTGATCTTGAATTTGCCGATGGCTTCTGACGGCATTTGGGGTGGGGCACCGGAGTTTACTCGCCTAGCTAATGCTGTCTCTATAGGGTCTCATCTAGGGACGTGTGATCATTCTAGTTTTGTCAGCATATCCCCTCCACAGAGAGCAGCTGGGGGTGGGGGGAGTATAAAAGATGAATGTATTTTTGATGAATGTATTTTTGAGGGGTCTCAACAACATGGTGCTATTTTCTAAAACAGCCATACCCTGCAGAACTAAGGCTTCTGGGAACTTAAATGAGGATGAGACTGACTCCTCAGGTCTACCCAGTACGGTCTGGCCCAGGAGGTTGGTAGGATTTAGAGCTGTTAGTCTCGCTATCAACTCCAAAGAGTCAAATCCTGACCCCCATCCCTCATCACAGCATAAAACCAACATGAATTATTAACACCTGTTTTAATAAACAATTCCTGTTTCACATAAACAATATCTGTCCATAACAGGATGATTAGAAAACATGGATAAACAAACTGAAAACCACTTACATCATCACCTCCCAGGGAAAACTCATGATAACTTGGGGAGTTATATTCCTTAAGTTTTCCAGTATGTGTATGTACACATATATTTATATTTGTGATTCAAGGAAATGATCAAGTCAGCCCAATATTCCACATACCTAGAGAAACATTTTGTGAGGTAAAGAGGAATATTGTATTCAGAATCAGAAGACCCATGGTTTCAATCCCAGTTCTTCCCCTTGCTAGTGGTTCCCAGTTCACAGCCCAGATTACAACAGATCTCTGTTCCCAAACTAATTAATCGAACTTTGCTGTTGTAGAGGTTTCTGTGACATGTGATATATGAGTTCCCAAGCACCTTGGAGAGCACTCGGTCAGTGGCGATCCCCTCCCGTCCTCAGGGTACCCTGCAAGAGGATGCCAGAGCGCTGGAAGGGGCTCTTGGACTTCATCCACACCTGCAGTTTTCCAACTGGGATCCCAGAGGGCTTTGAACTTCCCGGCTCTGATTCAGCATGAACAGCTCTCTGTTGTTCTATGTATTGTGGTTCTAGATAAAATATAATTTAGAAAATGTATAGGTTTATTGCTAAAAAAAAAAAAAATCCCTGATCTAGCCTTCCCCCCTCATCTGTAAAACTACAGAGGGAATTTTCCTTGCCCAAGAACAAAAGATGAGCTGGTGATAAAAATGAGTTCGGGACATTTAGTCCAATGCCCTTTCCACATTCAAGGACCCCAGATGGTTGTACCAAACTGATGTCTTTCAGGCTCCTGAACACATCCAGTGATTTTTGTCCATAAGTCCTGTTTCCTTCCTATAAGCAGTCTTTTCAAGGTTTTGTAAGCAACATCAAAGAATATTTGAAGAAGACCTATTACTGTGTTTTGAGGATGGAGGGGAGTGTCTTCCTGTCTTTGTGGTCCCAGTCATCCAACCACAGGTACTGAGACAAGCTTGGTGCTTGTGGATATCTCTGCTACCTCTGGCTGTTAGTAATGCAAGGACAGTGGTTGTGACTTGCTTACCTCTCCAGCCCCTTCCCCCCACCGAAGGCTGCCCCACCCCCTGCTCCTCATCTTCTTCCTCTTCCTCCTTCACCTGGTATCTAAGTCCACTCAGCAAAGATTAGGGTTTTTTTGAAGGAGCTCAGAGACCCTAGGTAAAAGCAAGGCACCTAGCCAGTGCTGTCCCCTGGGGTTGGAAGTCCCTGGGTATCAGGACAGGCTTGTGGCCAATGGGCAAAGCTCAATGAATGAGTATTGACCAGTTTAAGAAACTTCTTCCCATCAGTTATCTATCTTCCTCCTAACTCCCTTGACTCAACCAGGGAGGAATTAAGAAAGAGACAGTCAATGTAGTAGCAAGTTGGACCTTGTTAGATAGAATCTAATCCCTATTTCCATGGGGAGGGGGCTCACTGAGGACTGGCCCTCTTGCCTCTAGTTTTTTATTTTTACTTATTTACTTATTAATTAATTAATTTAAGATAGGGTCTCATGTAGCCAGGCTGGTCTTAAATTCTATTTTTAATCAGGCTAACCTTGAATGTCTGACCCTCCTTCCTCCTCCTCCCAAGTCCTGGGATTACAAATGTGTACCACCTCTCCCAGTTTATAACTTGCTGAGAATCAAACCCAGGGCTTTCTGCATCTTAGGCAAGCACTCTACCAATTCAGCTATATCCGTATCTTTTACCCCTTTAAAAATATTTAGTTAGGTGTTTTTTTACAAACAACTCAAGACCTAAATATGAATGAATTTAATACCAGGGAGAATATGTTCATACATAAACTGATGGAGGGGAGCACAGAGGTTGCTCTGTGACTGGAGAATGTACCATTCTGAAGCATTCCTAGGAGCAAATTTTCGCTCATTGTCTCTGACAGAACTTTGGCCAAGGTCCAGAATGTTGGCTGAATGGATCCTAAGCCTCCCACCCAGTGTGTGGTTAGAAGACTAAAGGGAAAGACTATAAAGAAAAAGGAGAGTCTTCATTTGATAGAAGTTTCTGAATAACTAATGGCTATACTAAAAAAAAATTTGTTTCCACCATGCACTTTGTTTTAGGATCGCTTGTTTTCCTTTGCAGTGCTAAGGATGGAACCCAGGTCTTGTATATGCTAGGCAAGTGCTCTGCCACTAATCTACACCTTCTACCCCTTTGCAGATGTTAGTTCCTGGGGGCTAATATGTAGTTCATTTTGACAGAGTGCTTGCTTAGCATGCACCAAGTCCTGTACCACATAGACCAAGTATGGTGGTGCATGCCTACAGTCCCAGAACTGAGGAGATAGAGTCAGGAACATCAGGAATTCAGAGCTACCTTGGCTATATATTGAGCTCAAGACCAGCCTAGGACACAGGAGACCTATCTCAAAAAAACAAAATAAGGGTCCAGCAAGATAACTCAGAAGGTAAGGGTATTAAGGGCCAGCAAGATGGCTCATCAGGTAAGGGTACTTGCTGGTAGGCCTGGATGACCTGAGTCCATCCTGGAAACTCACATGGTGGAAGAAGAAAGCTTGGCACCACGGTGTGTACATGCCCAAACAGAGAGACAGATAGACAGACAGACAGACAGACAGACAGACAGACACACACACACACACTAAAATGTGTGAAAAAAATAAGACAAACCAAATATGTAAGTTTTAACAAAGTGTAGACTGATGATCAAGATCTAGTTTTCATTTAATGGCTGAAGATCTGGCTGGATCCCAGCAGTGGGATTTGGAGCATGACGTGTGTTCATTCTGGGTCAGGGATGTAAGAGTGGAGAAGACTGGAAGGAATGTGGGTTGTCCCCAAGCTGTTCCCCACTGTTGAAAAACAAATGGAAAGAGACCATAAATCCTCAAATAGAAGCTTGCCTTTCTTTGGGGCCTGCTTTAAAAAGTGGAATGCAGGAAAATGACCCAGCTAATAGAGGGTTCAGGCTGGTAGAGGATTTATTTCCTGGCAGAGCTGTATGGCACATTGTAGAACCTGGGTAAATGTTTCAGTTGAATCTCGAGAGCAAAGACACTGGCTTGGAAGTAAACATACTTGGGATCTACACTGGGTTTTCCTACTGCTAGAGTCTCAAGGATAACTGACAGCTATCCATCCTGGGGCCCTAACATACACCTCCATCCC